GCCTTCTTAATATCAATGAATTGTTTTCCTTCCAGAATTACAGACCTGGCATAGCAACAAGATCTCACACCTTGGTGGCACCATTTTAGCTGGGAAGAATGAAAACCTTACCATCTTGGCTCTGATTAGACAGTAGGGCCTTTTTAGGAACTCTGTTAAATATTGTATTTATAGTGTATATAGGTGTCGTCCCCCAACCCCACACCCTGGTTACTAAATAAGAAAATTAAGGAATATATCCAATTTAGAAATAGATTTAGTGCTTAATGAGAGAAGACCTCACTTGCTGATAAAAATACATACTTTTCTAATTTAGGCCTTTTTATTGTCACTTTATCCCATATTAAAAGATGCTTTTATTTTACATCAGGCCTCAACCTTAATCTAAGTACTGACTTTACATAGCCTTTAGAATGTAAACTATTTGGGAGTCTCATTAATAGCTCCATTCATAAAAGCTGTCAGTAAATTAGACTTTTCAGTCATCTTGAACATAGCTTGAAAATGCTAAGCTTGTGAGTAAATGAGCCAAAGTATCTGACCTGAAAAATACTTTCAAGCCCTGAGGAAATATTCTTAAAACTGAAGACTGCCGAACTGAACTGGAAATCTGTCATTGTTTCGGACATACTAATTCCCCATCATAAGCCCTATGAAGATAGTCCTGTGGTCTTACATTGCTCAGCTTCTTGCAACAGGAGGCTTTTACTAAATACGTTGTCAAATGAACCAATATAGAACACAATTCTTCATAGTAAAAATTTTTATTTAAAACACAGTCCCAGGGGTGCCTGGATGGCTCAGTCTGTTAGGTGTCTGCCTTCAACTCAGGTCATGATCCCAGGGCCCTGGGATTGCTCAAAGTACAGGCTCCCTGCTCAGCTCCCTCTCCCTCTCCCACTGTCCCTCCCCTCGCTTGTGTGGGTGCGTGCTCTCTCTTGAAATCTTTAAAAAAAAAAAAAAAGTTTCAATGTGGACTTGAAATGGTTCCAAGAGTTCCTATTAAAGCCCAAATTAATCAGAACAGAGGTCTGATTCTAAATTTAGAAAGTTTTTGTCACTCTTCTAATGAGACACTGGCCCATCAGCATCAAATATATTCAGAAAGGACATGATACAACTCTGAGAAGAACATAGTCACAAGAATGCAGCAGGGTTATACTCTCTGGGCAGTCCATTCACTCCGATCTCTATTGCAACTTCAGTATTTGAGTGAAACTGCATAAAGGACACTAATGATTCGTTGCCACATCCTCATCTCTGCAGCATTTAGTTCTGTTAAGGACTAATTTCCTTCATACGACTCTCTTACTTGACCCCATAAGTATTAGTATCCCCTGAAGTTCTATGTAGGGCACTCACCCAGTGTTCCTCCCCTTGATGTTCTAATTCAGCAAAAGTGATCACCATGACAAGCCCTGGTGACTCTCATCACTGACTGCTGTTCAGAGGTTACAAATATTGGTTTAAGTGACACCATGCATTGTTTTGAAACAAGGGATTTTAATCACAATCCTAATTTGGGTCATAGTTCTTTAATCTCTCTTGGAAGACCTCAAGAGTCTTTAGATTTAGCATTTTACTGTATGGGGTGGCACCATGAGCTGATACTGCATAGCTAAATCACCTTTAGAAAAACTGTAATGTTGGTTTCTTCAAAGATATTTAATGCATCCAACCATGTTAACACTTTATTTGGTGAGGTGGAATCTAAATGACTATTACTGTATCAACATCAATTAACATGTATGTATCTCTGTTAACTAGACAGACCAATAGACTCTTTGAACTGTAGTAACCTTAGGAACAAGTACTCTACACATGCTTACCGCGCCTCTGCTTGATTTCATTCCATAAATGTTCATCTCCAGCTCATTACCTCACATTGCAGGTCATATTAGCTGGAGATGCTTCTCTAGTCTTTAAACTGAGTAGAGTTGAAATTCGCTTATTCCATCTCTTAATTCACAGATTCTCCTTCTGTGTAATAGTCTACATAACAGTCGAAATTGAAAGAGAGGGGTGAGTATACCATATTTGAGGAGTGCTTAGGAGCTTATAATTTTTACATTCCTAGGGGAGCTCAGTTATTTGAGCCTTCAACTCCTGATTTCAGCTCGAGTCCTGATCTCAGGGTTGTGGGATCAAGCCCTGCACAGGGCTCTGTGCAGTCTCCTTGTCCCTCCCTCCCCACTCCCACTCTCTCTCTCAAATAAGTTAAATATTTTTAAAAAGGTTTTTTTCCCCATTCCTAAAATCAGTATTATATACTTTCATTCTTGTAAATATCAGAAACCCATGCTGTTTACCCTTTTCCAGTTTAGCGTCCCACTCTTAAGGCTAAGAATTAAATAGTTAATATAAAAAATTGATGCCCCAAAAGTTATTTTTTTTAAAGATTTTATTTATTTATTCATGAGAGACACAGAGAAAGAGAGACAGAGACACAGGCAGAGGGAGAGGCAGGCTCCATGCAGGGAGCCCGACGTGGGACTCGATCCCGGGACTCCAGGATCATGCCCTGGGCCCAAGGCAGGTGCTAAATTGCTGAGCCACCCAGGGATCCCCAAGAGTTATTTTTAAATTAATTTTTAAAAGATTTTATTTGAGATGCCTGGGTGGCTCAGCGGTTGAGCATCTGCCTTTGGCCCATGCGCCAAACTGAGCCATCCATGTGCCCCCAAAAAAAGATTTTTAAGGAAAAGCATCCAAAATAATTCTCATAAAGTAGAATATTAATTTGCTGGCACTGGTATAGAACACTTAACATAGTTTAAACTTGCTTCTCCAAGATAAGGTTAAGTTTGCAGCTTGATATAAAAATTTAAATGTTGCTTAATCCTGGGCTTTCAGGAATTTTATAATTAACTGATTTTAAATGCAGTGTAATTTTTAACATGTATAAATTTAGCGATTTAACTTCCTTTATAAAATGTATTACAAAGAGGATGAGAGTTACTTTTTCCTTTAATCGCATTTTAGATCATATTCTAAAAGAAGGGAGAAATTTTTCATTTTTATTAAGTTCTTATAAAACTTCAGGTCCCTCAGGCCCAAACTATTCCTCTCCTTAAGCAGCAAGATAGATTTATAATTATGGCTGCTTTTATTTTTATACTTATTTTGAAAAAATTTATGAGTACAGTCCTAGTGCATTTATGTCACTGATGGAAGAATGAGAATATTGTCCTTATTAGGGTAGCCATTAGGTACTGAATGCTCCTTAGCATATTTTTTCTTCAACGTGTGAACTTTAGAAATATGAATCAGGAAATTCCATTAAAATAGTTAGAAAAGCACATTTTGTAAAGTTTATTGCATGCTGTTTGAAAGTTACCACCATATTCCTTCATCTTTGTCTTAGCAAAAATCCTAGAAGAGATCTGAGAATCCTAAGAGTAGGTGATGAATGTCATTGCCATTTTCAGCCATTTATGGATATGAGAGAAGATGAGGATGTTTTCACTCTTTAAGCATTTATCACTGACATGCCAACTGGTTATAGCTTTAAGTTTAATGTAAGCAGTTTCTTTATAGTATTGCTGTGACTCTAATCTAGATCTTGAATGGCCATTTTGGGGAAACTAAGCATAAATGATGCAGATGTATAGTATTTTCTGCAAGCAGATAAAATTTTTGACTTAGATTGTTTGCCACTATATAAGTCTGTTTTGTGCATGTATAAAGGAAGTGACTTGAAAAATCTGATTTGAGAATTTTCCAAATCTATCATACTGTCATTAATGTCCTGCTTTTTAATGGAATCTTTTTTATTATATTCTCACCTTTATTAACATAATTCATTGTTGGAGATGATCAATAAGACAATTGCATTTTGCAGGTCTTAAAAAAACAGCATCAGTTTTACTTTTTAGCCACAAGTACATGCAGAAGGCCAAACTCAAGCCTGACAGTAAAGCCAAGTCTTAAGCAATTGAAATTAAAGACTATATAATTGAGTTCTAGTGTAATAATTTAAGAATATTTAAAAGTATTTTCATTGTGGGATGGATAATGAGAGTATGGTATATATTTAAGCCCTTTGATATTTTAGTTTCAGAGTTGAAAGCTTTCCAAGGCTTCTAAGAAGTAAAGCCACAACTCATTTATGTGGCTTTCTCATTCATGGACACAGGAGAAGGGACTTACATAAGCCTCACGAGGTGCACTATATTGGAAAGATGATTCCTCAAGCAAAAATTTTCATTATTTGAAGATGTGATTTAGAAAGTTTTCAGAATAAATGGAGTTTCATGTGAACTTTATATGTTTGAGCAGGTAAATCTGGTGAGTAATAAAATAATTTTCCTTTAATGTGTCCATTTGGTATATGAGATCATTATTATTCAGATTAGGTATATTTCTTTAGCTTTATTAGAGACTCTTTGTTTTTTCTGAAAAAAGATTTTATTTATTCATGAGAGGCACAGAGAGAGGCAGAGACACAGGCAGAGGGAGAAGCAGGTTCCCTGCAGGGAGCCTGATATGAGATTCGATTCCAGGACTCTGGGATCATGCCTGGAGCCAAAGCCAAAGGCAGATGCTCAACCGCAGAGCCACCCAGGTGTCCCTGTTTTTTTCTTCACAGTGATCAAAATTACCATAATACTGTTGTATTATACAGTGACTAAACTAATTAGCATGAACTCTTCAAACACAGCCAAAGCATTTCTATTTTAAAATCCATCCTTGGGATCCCTGGGTGGCGCAGCGGTTTAGCGCCTGACTTTAGCCCAGGGCGCGATCCTGGAGACCCGGGATCGAATCCCACGTCCGGCTCCCGGTGCATGGAGCCTGCTTTTCCCTCTGCCTGTGTCTCTGCCTCTCTCTCTCTCTCTCTTTCTCTCTCTCTCTCTCTCTATCATAAATAAATAAAAATTAAAAAAAAATCCATCCTTAAAGAGAAAATATTTTGTAGGATAATTGCTAGTAACAAAAAAAAATTGCTAGTAACAATATTCATTTTTAAAATAAATAATACAGTAAAAGTATATATAATGTGGATTTAAAAAAAAGATTTATTTATTTATTCATGAGACACACAGAGAGAGAGACAGAGACAGAGACATAGGTAGAGGGAGAAGCAGGATCCTCACAAGGAGCCAAATGCTGGACTCGATCCCAGATCCCAGGATCATGCCGAGCCCAAGGGAGATGCTCAACTGCTGAGGCATCCAGGCGTCCCTGTAACGTGAATTTTCAAAGTGAATCCATTGTTTGAACATTGTATTTTCTCTTTTTGCATTTGTGCTTGACAGGCAGTCACACATTGTCTACCCTCATCTCAGCGGGTACTACTTTAGCTCCTTGTTTACCTTTCTCTGATCTTTGGCTAACTTCTTTCAACTATATCCAGTTTTAGATATAAATACAAAGCTAAGGATCCACTTCATCCTCAGACTAACCTGATGTGAATGTTAATCTTATTTGCCAAAAATAATGTCAATTAAAAATGTTTTATTCTAAGGGTAACCATGTAAATTTACTGCCTAGTGTATTACTCTCTACCTTAAATTTGACCATTTTGCCCTATGATCTTTCTTATTTAAGCCAACTGGCTAACAAATGCAGAGCAACCCTCAAAAGAGGAGCATTGTTGTCGCTTCTAAATAACCTTCTTCAGGGATTTTCAAACTGTGCTCTAGGATTGTAGGGGTTCTTTGAAGATGCCTCTCTGGGTGTGGAGTTAGCTGGTGTAGAGTAGGTGGGGCTTTAGGCCCTCAACCAGACCTCTAAAACAGCTTCACTTTTATCTTATTCCTTGTGCTTTCATGGCCTAGTGGGTTTTTTAAAATTTTTTTTAATTTTTAAAGATTTTATGTACTTATTCATGAGAGACACAGAGAGAGAGGCAGAGACACAGGCAGAGGAAGAAGCAGGCTCCCTGCAGGGAGCCCGATGTGGGACTCATCACACCCTGAGCCAAAGGCAGACACTCAACTGCTGAGCCACCCAGGTGTCCCAGCCTAGTGTTTTTTTTTTTTTTTTAATTTTAACTGCCAACTTAATTTTAAAATATTCATGGGTGACAATAGTAATAGTAGCTTTTATTTATAAAGTGCTTATCATATGCCAGCCTCTGCTTTAAATATTTTCTAATATTAATCCATTAATCCTTAAAAACCAGTAAGATTAAGCATTTCATTATCCCTATTTACAAATGAGGCTTAAGGATATTAGCTTGCCCAAGGGGTCATGGCTACAGGTGACAGACTTTGGATTCAAATCTCGGGAAATGTAAGGTGCCATCCCCCCACTCTCCCACACTTGAGGCAGACAGGGCCAATGTTAAAATTATTTAACATTCATTCAACAAACACATTAGTATAATGTCACATGACCATTATTATGCAACCCATTAGATCCTTGTTCATAAAAATGTTTGAGTGTATTTATTAAATGTTCTATGAATAAAAAGTTCCTCCCTAAAAGCTATCTTTGATGCATTCTCTTTCCAATTATTTGTAAAAGTAGAAATCACTAAGCCGTGCTGAAGGGAATGAATCATAGTGGCTGGGTCCAATGACAATGCTACCAACTAGGAATTTCTTTTTTTTTTTTTTCTTTCTCCAACTAGGAATTTCTTTGAAGAGAGTTGAAAGAACCACTTTCTGCTGGTGAGGGTGTTGGCAAGATCTATGGTTGCAGTGTATAGTGAACTCCGTGTGCCTCTTTTGCTCCTGGTTTTGGTTTTGTCAAATGAGAAAACAGAAGAGCTGTCCTATTTGTAGCTGATCAGGGCTTACTGAAAAGTCAACCAAAGCCAGTGATTCTAGTACATGGAGGAATGTTAATTAGGATTGGGAGCATACATGAAGTAGAGAGAGAAAAGACAACTAAAAAACTATGTGATTCTAGGATAAGATTTTAGAAATGTAGGAAGAAACAGTATAAATTAAGACTGGAGATGATATCAGGATTATATATATATATTGATATCAGGATTATATTAAATGGTGTTTGGTAGCACTTCAGGTTCGGTGAGAGAGGTTTAGTTACATGTGTTTCAAAAGATTGCTCCCCTTCATAGTTCTAAGTTGCTTTATTAAAGCATCTAAGCCTAAACATTAAAAGTTAAAGTTTTGGTGTGTGTGTGTATGTGTTTGGTTTTTTCAAAAAAGATTTTATTTATTTGAGAGAGAGAAAGCAGGTGCCCAAGAGAGCATGAGCATGGGGGAGGGACAGAGAGAGGGCCACTGGGGAGGGGCTGAGGGGTGGGAAGCAGAGGAGCAGGGAGCAGAACCCCATCCAAGACCCCAGGATCATGACCTGAGTGGAGGGCAGACACTTAACCAACTGAACCACCCAGGCACCCTTGTGTTGCTTGCTTGCTTTCTTTCTTTCTTTCTTTCTTTCTTTCTTTCTTTCTTCCTTCCTTTCTTTCTTTCTTTTTTTTTTTTTTTTTGCCCCTGTGTTTTTTTTTTAAGTAAACAACCAGGCCACTGCAGTTATCTGATGCTACCACATACTAACTGCATGGAAAATATTCCACAGAAATAAAAAGCCCTTTTGAATGTTAACTTATAGATATATAGATCAATGGCAAATATCAATGTTTGATATAGTTCTTTTCCTTAATGATTTAGTGTAATGATTATGATCTAGGCCTAAGATAAATACCAAAAGTTCTTTATCACTTTAACAACTGAAATTATTATTATTTTTTAAGGATTTTACTTATTTATTCATGAGACACACACACACACAGAGAGAGAGAGAGAGAGAGAGAAAGAGAGAGGCAGAGACATAGGCAAAGGGAGAAGCAGGCTCCATGCAGGGAGCCTGATGTGGGACTTGATCTCGGGTCTCCAGGATCGAACAACTGAAATTAAAATACTGTAATATCAGAATACTCCCATGTGGTGGATTAATAGATGGCCATCACTTTTTTGGGAAAAAAAATCTACAGAAATTAAGAGAGTTACAGAAAAAATTCTTCCTTAACCATAAAATTTCTGGCCCATTATTTATTGCATAACTATCATCAGGATAGTGCTATGGTAATAGTACTTGCCATCAAAATACTATTTACATGGCAAATAAGCAAACAAAAATAATTCAGTGTAACTGGTGAAAGATAAAATATTCTAGGAAATGGATCACGTTATTTCTTAAAACTATAATACTCTGAATTAGTAAGTATCAGGTTAATTGAGATTATCATGACTCCTAGAAGAGACTCTCTGGAAAGCAATTTGGTAATATGTTTCACAAGTTATTAAAAAATGTTTATGCCCCCCAAAAGCACTTCAAGAAAACTGTCCCACAGCAGAGATGATTTTTATACAAGAATGTTTTTCAAAGTGTTATTTATAAGAAAGAATAGGGGTGTCTGACTCGCTCAGTTGGTAGAGCATGCAACTCTTGATTTTATGGTTGTGAGTTCAAGCCCCATCTTGGTGCAGAGATTACTTAAGAATAAAATCTTAAAAAGACAAACATATTCCAGTCATGTAGGAATAAATAAATTATATTAGGTACCAAGTAATATTTTCAAAGAATATTTGATAATTTAGTGTATATCTTATCTAAATATTAAGACAAAAAGACACAAACTGTAAATAAATACACAAAAATGTTAACTTTTGGATAATTTTTTATCCCTTACTATATTTTCCAAATTTTTTCCAATAAACATTTATTTTAATCGGAATATTATATGATAAATCATATATAAATCAAAGCATTTATTATTTTAGGAAACAAAGATCATTTCCATTTCAGAGCTTATGGAAATTGTGCTCTTTGATTAGTTGGTTGCCTTATTTCATTTTCCAAACAAACATAGCTTCTTGTGGATCCCTGGATGGCTCAGCGGTTTGGCGCCAACTTCGGCCCAGGGCCTGATCCTGGAATCCCGGGATCAAGTCCCACATCCGGCTCCCTGCATGGAGCCTGCTTCTCCCTCTGCCTGTGTCTCTGCCTCACTCTCTCTCTCTCTCTCTCTCTCTCTGTCTCTCATGAATAAATGAATAATATCTTAAATAAAAAAAAAACATAGCTTCTTTTTTTCCTGATAAGGGTAATGATGCTGTTACTTAAACACACACACACACACACATACGAAAATACAGAAATGTACAAATAAATAAAAAGAGACATGAAAAATTCCCCATAATCTCAATACTCAGAAACAGTCATTGTTATCATTTATTGTATATTCTTCCAAATAACGTTTATGCATGTATGTCTATTTCCAGGGCTGGTTTTCAGGGATATACAGCAATAAATAAGCATATTATTTACCACTGGTAACTGTTCTGGTGGTTTGGTGTCCATGCCTACTGGTAGCAAAATACGTTATCACCCTTTCATAATCTATCAATTGGTTCATCAATCAGTTGGTTAATCTATTTTTATATTTTATACAATTGATCATATCATATGCTCTGTTCTATAATCTGTGCTTCTTTTCATGTCACCACATAGTAACATCTTTTTATGTTAATAAATAATATAGCTCTACTTCATCATTTTAACAACCGCATTATACTTGATTGTGTTTATTTTTTAAAGATTTTATTTATTTATTCATGAGAGACTCACATAGAGAGAGAGGCAGAGACACAGGCAGAGGGAGAAGCAGGCTCCAGGCAGGGAACCCGATGTGAGACTCGATCCCGGATCCCGGGATCACACCCTGGGCTGAAGGCAGACGCTCAACTGCTGAGCCACCCAGGCCACCCTGATTGTATGTTTAGAAAAACCTTCTCTACTTCAAAATTATTAAAACAGCCATTTGTATTTCTTTCCACCTAAGCTTATCTTGAGTCCCGTGGTCAGCAAACTTCTTCTGTAAAGTGTCAAAGAGTAAATATTTTTGGTTTTATGGACCATATGGTTTCTATCAAAACTGGTCACTCTGTCACTGCATTGGGAATATAGCCATAGGCAATACTTTAGCAAATGAGTGTGGCTGTGTTCCATTACAATTTTACTTATGTATACCAAAATTTGATTTCATATAATTTTCACATGCCATAAAATTTTTTTTCAACCGTTTAAAAATGTAAAACCATTCTCCCTCTTCTTAGCTTGCTAATCATACAAAAACAAGCAGCAGGTCAGATTTGGGCCAGAGCTTGCTGACTTCTATAGCTGAATGCTTCCCTTCAAAGCTCTCATTTTCTGCCAAGAAGTGTATCAGTGTCACACCTAAGTTTCCTTCAGTTAGATACTAACCT